CCTGAGCTGCCCGGGCTGAGCCCACCCACTCCCAGCTCCAGAGCTGCCACATCCCAGCACCCCGAGATGCTGCATAGGAAGGGGCACACTGGCAGCAGGGGCTGAGCTGGGGGTGTTGAAGGTGTTTAGTGGGAGCAGTGGGGATGCTGGTGCTGGCCAGGATGTCCCAGACAGTGCGGGCAGGGGGGATACACCAATCCCATCCCAGTGTGGGGAAGGGAACGGGTCCTCATGGTGGCAGAGGAGTAGGAGGACCCAGGTAGACAGTTTGGGGGTTCCCATCCCTCAGCCCTGAGCCCGAGATGAGCTCTTTTCTGCATGGAAACACTTTCCAGAGCAGTTGATCCATCCATGGTGGGCGTTGCACTGGGTGAATGCGGGGGTGCCCTGGGGCCGTTTGGTCACACCCCCCCAAGCAGCAGTTCAGCTCCATCCCACCCACAGCCCACCTGCATCCCACCGGGGCAGGAATCACGGGTTGAGGGCTTCAGGCTCTGGGCTGGTGTCCAGGGAACCCCAGGAGCCACCACATCACCATCTCGCCTTTGTTTTGGAAAGCCAGGGCAGGAAGGAAGCGCGTGGTGGAAAGGAGGAGGGGACGGCTGGGGATGGGTTTCCACTGCGTGACCCCGGGGCAGGCGTGGTGGTGGTGGCTGGGCCAGCCGGGCAGGAACAGCCGCCCGGGGCGGAACAATGGCAGCCCAGGGGGAAGGAATTATTTTCCACTGAGTTGGGCTAAACCTCAGTCTGTTCCCACTGCCCCCGCTCAGGGCTGGGCCACTCGACCGGGGATTAGCCACCACCCAGCAGAGGACTGGTGGCAGTTGGGGAAAATCTCCTGCTGTGGATGAGCAAAAAGCCGGGGCTGTTTTCCAAAGCCTCTTCCAGCTTGAGCTCGGACACCTGGGGTCTTCCCTACTTGGCTTCAACCCATCACCATCACATCCCCTCCCAGTACCTCCTGCTTGGCAGATAGAGCCCCAGCCCTGCTGAGTGCCTGTACCCTGGGTGTGGATTTGCTGTAACTCCCGCAGAGAAAGGAGCCCCCAAAAGCCCTTGAACTCCTGCAGTGGTTCAGCCAAAGGTCTTGAGGTCGTGGTGACACTGAGCATCCTCCCGGCTGGACTTGCTCCAGGGTCCCTCCCTGGGACAAGGGGCTGCTCATCCTGCTGCCACGTGGAGACAGATTACGTGTCCTGGGGATGGGTCTCTCCTCCCTGCCTCACCAAGGGTCTCACCAGCCCGTGCCCTCTCTCCCCAGCTCATGTCCCTGCCTCGCCCTGCATGGCCCCAGCGAGATGAGCCCCCGTCCTGCGGCACCACCACCGGCCTCCCTCCGGCCTCCTCCGACAGCGACTCCGGCTGTGCCCTGGAAGAGTACCCGGAACCCCCCGCGGACCCCGCACCCCCCGAGGTGGGCAGCACCCTGGTTCTCCCCCAGCTCCGTGGGTGCCATGCATGGGAGGTTCCCACAGCAGAGCCCTGGGATTAAACACATTCTAGCAACGCAGCTCAATCCCCCTAAAATTCTGCCCGTCTCTCTCTCCCAAGGCCCCGCCGTGCCTCGGCCCCCGCTCGCCGCAGCCCGGCTCTCCCTCCGACAGGACGCGGCTCCGCGCCAGAGCCCTCCTGCAGCAGCTGCCTCCCCAGGACTGCGATGTAAGACA